GCTTGAGCAGTGGGTTGGGCTAGAAGACCTCCAAGGTCCCTTCCAAGTCTTAACATCACCAAGATTAGACACCCCTATATAAACCTTGGCAGTTTCTTCCTCAATGGTTTCCACCAGTTACCGCTATCTCAGAGGAAATCTAAATAAGAACGTGAGAATAAATCCCACAGTTACCCTTCCTGAAACTTAGTGGCCAGTGCTGTCAAAACAATAAACCACTGAAAAACTGCTCACATGATTTTGCAGAAAAGCTTGATCAATAAACATGCAGACCACCATTTCATGCCATGACACACGGCCCTCTAACCATGACCATGGCCCACACTTAAAATTGGCCACTATCTCGTAGTTTCCAAATCCAGACAACATCCGCACGAGCCTTGGACCCAAAGTCTGCTTCTGAAAACACAAATGGTGGTTATTCCAGGATTGGTTAACCCAGAAAGCCTCTAAATTAGATTAAGGAAGCCATGTGGAGGTGGGGCTGGATAAAAGGAAGTCACAGGAATGACCCTTAATGGAGTTTTTATTGTAAGATATGCAAACAACCGAAGTATGATTACGAGTGACTCTAAAGAAGGGGTCCCCAACCCACAGTCTGTGGACCAGTACCGGACCGTGCCATGCCAGCAACCGGTCCACACAAACAAGCAAAGCTTCATCTGCGGGATGCAGGCAGCACACAAAACCTTGCCCCCTCCGATCCGCGGAATAACCTCTCTCCACATAACTGGTCCCTGGTGACCAAAAGGTTGGAGGCCTCTGCTCTAGAGAACACATAGGAGAGTCAGTCTGTTGTATTAGGGAGTCTTTGTCTGACAAGCACAGTTCAGCCCAAAAGTGAATTTTGCCTCATTTTACAACTTTTCTTGCCACAGTTGTTGTTGCAGTTGTTCAGTTAGTAACGTGGTTGTTAAGTGAATCTGGCTTCCCCACTGACTTTCTTGTCAGAAGGTCACAAGAGGTCATCACCTTTCTCAGATGACTGGGGAATTCTGGGAATTAAGTCCACACACCTTAAAGATGCTGAGTTTGAGTAACACTGTGCTTAAGAGTATGCTGGAAAGTACTACAGACTACACTATACTCTGTTCAGTTACCAAAAACACAGCAAGCGCTTGTCGCTAGCAGATTGTCCGGAGGGTATCTTGGTTCAAGGTGTACATCTTTAAGGAATATGAATGTTCTCCTGTTGTGTCTGTAAGGTTTTTCAGCTCAAAATCTAAATAAATCCCAACACGAGGCTACTGAAAACAACACAGCTTCATTTTTGATCAACAAGAAAAGCTGGGTGCTTCCTAATCTCTTGTCTCTAATGCAGAGAGATCGAGCAGAAAAGACACACACACGCACACACACACACACACACACACACACACTAATAAAAAATTTCCATTTTATAGCTAAGGCACTTTCTCATGCTAACAGGCTAAAACGCATGCCTGGTTGAGGAATTCTGGAGTTGAAGTCCGCAAGTCATAAAAGGGCCAAGTTTGAAGACCCCTGCTGTAGATACTTGAAAAGTAAGGCACTGCAGATATTCCTCTGGCCACACACACCTGTGTGCCCATTCCTAAAAAAACCTTTGCCCATTCCTATAACTTGCATTGGAAAAATCCCCTAATCAACTTATATGAATACGATGTCTTCTTCACATAGCTTCATGTAATTTGCAATGCATTTTCTCCACTGAAGTTCACAGACACTTTTTCTTTCCATCTTTGTGGTTCTCTCCCTATAGCTTCTCTTCCTTCTCCTTTTTCTGACTGGGGTTTCTCCCCAATGCCCGATCAGCACAGTGGGGCAAAAAGGCTTTAGAACAGGCATGTCAAACTCGCGACGTCACGTGACATCGCACGACGTATCGAAATTTTTTCACCATTGCCGGCAATGGGGTGGGCGCGGTTCCAGTATGATAAAACCGGCCTGCGGGCCGGCAGGTTGACACCCCTGCTTTAGAACTATCCAAATGTAAAGCTTCTGTATTGGGCTCTAATATTCCAGAGACGAACTGGAGATGTCAGCAAAGAGACTTTTTCTCTCTCTAATGCCATTTGGTGGTCATTGTAAATTTTGCAGCACAGATTAATAATAATAATAATAATATTGAATAACTCAGGACATGGCTATCAAACATCAAAAACATCTGCCAGACTATCCCACCTCCTTTACATGGATGATCTGAAGCTGTATGGAAAAACATCATCTGAAATAGAATCGCTGCTCAACACTGTCCGTATATATAGCCAAGATATTGTAATGGAGTTTGGCTTGGACAAATGTGCCACACTTACTATCAAACAAGGAAAAATAGTGAAAACTGAAGGAATCAAGATGCCCCACGAAAATAACATTAAGAGTCTGGATGAGGAAGAATACTACAAATACTTGGGTATCCTTCAAGCTGACAACATCAAGCACACTGAAGTCAAGAAAAAGATTAGAGGTGAATACATCAAGAGAGTGAAGAAGATCTTAAAATCCAAACTCAATGGAGGAAATACCATAAAGGCAATCAACACCTGGGCAATCCAGTCATTAGGTACACAGCTGGAATAGTGGACTGGACTCAAGCAGAACTAAAAGCAATGGATAGGAAGACCAGAAAAATAATGACAATGAATCATGCCCTTCATCCACGCAGTGACATTGACAGACTTTATCTACCAAGGCAAATAGGTGGGCGTGGAATGCTACAAGTACATCAGATGGTTGAAGAAGAAAAAAATGGCTTTGGAAGAATATCTGAAGAACAATGATGAAGATGCACTGAAATTAGTATATCAGGAAGGCTTACTGACTACTGGAGAGACCAAACTGGCCTACAAGAAAGAACCAAATGAAGAACAGAATAGAGGCATGGGAAGACAAAGCACTTACATGGCCAATACATGAAAAAAATAGCTGGGAAAGCAGATAATAATAAAACCTGGCAATGGCTAAGAGCAGGAAAATTGAAGAAAGAGACCGAGGGACTAATTCTGGCTGCACAAGACCAAGCCTTAAGGACAAATGCATACAAAGTCAAAATTGAGAAGACAGCAACAGACAGTAAGTGCAGCCTATGCAAAGAAGCTGAAGAAACAGTGGACCACTTGGTAAGCTGTTGCAAGAAGATTGCACAGACTGATTACAAGCAGCGGCATGACAAAGTAGCAACAATGGTGCATTGGAAGATCTGCAAAAAAATCATTTGCCTGTAAGCAAAAACTGGTGGGATCATAAAATAGAGAAAGTCATAGAAAATGATAAAATTAAACTGCTCTGGGACTTCAGAATTCAAACAGACAAGCACCTGCAACATAACACCCCAGATTAACAATTGTAGATAAGAAAGACAAAAAAGTCTGGATAGTGGACATGGCAGTGCCTGGAGACAGCAGAATAGACGAGAAAGAACTGGAGAAGATAACAAAATACAAAGACCTACAAATAGAAATAGAAAGACTGTGGCAAAAGCAAGCAAGGATAGTACCAATAGTCATAGGCGCCTTGGGTGCAATCCCAAAACAACTGGAGCACCACTTGAACACCATTGGCATTGACAAATTCGCTATTAGTCAATTGCAAAAGGCAGACTTATTAGGAACTGCTTCCATCCTGCGACGATACCTGTAATACCATCAAACATCCACATCTGCCTATCCCAGGTCCTGGGTAAGGACTCGATAGGTAGACAAAATGCCAAATCCAGTCTGAACATCTGGTTGACTGTGCGATGATCGATAATAATAATAATAATAATAATAATAATAATAATAATAATAATAATAATAATAAAGTTGGAAGGGACCTTGGAGGTCATCTAGTCCAACCCCCTGCTCAGGCAGGAAACCCTATACCATTTCAGACAAATGGCTGTCCAGTCTCTTCTTAAAAACTTCCAGTGGTGGAGCATTCACAGCTTCTGGAGGCAGGGTGTTCCACTGGTTAATTGTTCTAACTGTCAGGAAGTTTCTCCTTAGTTCTAGGTTGCTTCTCTCCTTGACTAGTTTCCATCCGTTGCTTCTTGTCCTGCCTTCTGGCGCTTTGGAGAATAGCTTGACTCCCTCTTCTTTGTGGCAACCCCCGAGATATTGGAACACTGTTGTCATGTCCCCCCTCGTCCTTCTCTTTATTATATTAAACATACCCAATTCCAGCAACTGTTCCTTATATGTTTTAGCCTCCAGTCCCCTAATCATCTTTATTGCTCTTCTCTGCACTCTTTCTAGAGACTCAACGTTTTTTTACATCGTGGTGACCCAAACTGGATGCAGTATTCCAAGTGTGGCCTTACCAAGGCATTGTAAAGTGGTAAATATGATTACCAAAGTTTAATCCAGAGCAAATCCAATTAAAAGGAGTAATAGGTATCATTCCTTACAGATGCTGTGACCAGATGCTGGATTTAGCTATAAACTATATAAACTACAGCTTAAGGTTTCACAATCTGCAGGGCCTCACAAAATTTCAAAATATCAGTTTTCTGATACTGCAAATGACTTCATCACTTATATTAATAAAAGTGATCCCGATTACTTATTCTGTCAGCATTATACATGTTATTTGTTATTTTTAAATGTACATTTAAGTTTTATTTCTAGGATATCCTGCTAATACACTCAGTGTGTGGTTTAAGTTATCTTTTTGAAAGAGGTTTGTGTAAGGTGATTCAGGCCAGTCTGTGGAACAGCAGGAAACAAAATTAAAGTGTTCTTAAACCAGGCTTCAACACCCACCCACCCCGAAAAACCTCTTTTTTCAGCTTTTGTTGAGGTGAAAATACAAACTTGTGAGGGGACAATGTGTATGCTCATTTCTTTAGCGTCAGAAATGAATAAACAAGTTCATTGGTGGGCAAAAGGCAAGCTGAAGTGTGAATTGAGATCTCGCCTATGTGAGGTTGTGTGTAAACCTCAGAGTCATAACACACACACACACACACACACACACACACACCGTGCTTTACATCTTTAAAACAAGGGCTGCATCACAGATGAGCTGACTTTCTTTTTCAGATAGACTTCGGAGGGTGCGCGTACATGTGTTCCTCCTTCTCCTGCTAAGGTATGTATTTATGGAGAGATATTCATGGGTCCATGCTTAAGTCCAGGGTATGTGTGGGGAGGAAGAAGTATGGAAGTAACATTGCAATGAGCAGAATGCTTCGATTATTCTAATTTTTTGGCTCTTATTGAGATGGGCAGGAAGCAGTTTAAGAATCCTAAACAGTTTTAACAAGCATCCATTCTTGGCTGTCGGGCTGAATTCTTCTACAGGCTTTGTAAGCTGTGTCTTGAGCAGTAGGCTGATCTGGGACAATTTGGGGGTGATTTCTTGGCACCTCAGATGTGAAAAACCCTTTTTCATCTGCCAATTTCTGCATATAAAATAGGTCTGCTTTCCCTGTCAGGTTGAGACCTGCCAAACTGGTTACTATGTTGTATTAGGAAGTGGGTTCTAGTCCAATTTCAACCATGGAGACTTAAGCTATTTGTCTTAAGCATTCTGTCTTAGCCCAACTTACCTCGCAGGACTGTTGTGGAGAAAAATAGGAGGAGGAAATTCTAGACATCCCACAATGAGCTCCTGCATAAAAGCCAGAGTGTATCTTAAATTAATAAGTATGTCAAGATTGATTGGTACTCCAAAGCCTCCATCATTCATCTTTCTCAAATATTGTTGTTAGTTGTGAAGTCGTGTCCGACCCATCGCAACCCCATGGACAACGTTCCTCCAGGCCTTCCTGTACCATCTTCTAGAGTCCATTTAAGCTCACACCTACTGCTTCAGTGACTCCATCCAGCCACCTCATTCTCTGTCGTCCCCTTCTTCTATTGCCCTCGATCTTTCCCAGCATCAGGCCCTTCTCCAGTGAGTCCTTCCTTCTCATTAGGTGGCCAAAGTATTTGAGTTTCAACTTTAGGATCTGGCCTTCTAAAGAGCAGTCAGGGTTGATCTCCTCTAGGACTGACTGGTTTGATCACCTTGCAATCCAGGGGACTCGCAGGAGTCTTCTCCTGCACCATAGTTCAAAGCCTCAATTCTTTGGTGCTCAGCCTTTCTTATGGTCCAACTTTCACATCCATATGTTGCAACTGGGAAAACCATGGCCTTGCCTATACGTACTTTTGTTGGCAGGGTGATGTCTCTGCTTTTTAGTATGCTGTCTAGATTTGCATAGCTTTCCTCCCCAGGAGCAAGTGTCTTTTAATTTCTTGGCTACAGTCCCCATCTGTGGTGATCGTGGAGCCCAGGAAGATAAAATCTGTCACTGTCTCCATTTCTTCCCCATCTATTTGCCAGGAATTGAGAGGGCCGGATGCCATAATCTTGGTTTTCTTAATGTTGAGTTTCAAGCCAACTTTTGCACTCTCCTACTTCACCCGTATCAAGAGGCTCTTTAGTTCCTCTTCACTTTCTGCCATTAGAGTGATATCATCTGCATATCTTAGGTTGTTGATATTTCTCCTGGCAATCTTAATTCCAACTTTTGATTCATCTAGCCCTGCCTTTCTCATGATGTGCTCTGCATGTAAGTTAAATAGGTAGGGCAACAGATTTTTTCCCCCAATTTTGAACCAATCAGTGGTTCCGTGTCCAGTTCTCACTGTTGCTTCTTGAACTGCATATAGGTTTCTCAAGAGACAAATAAGATGGTCTGGTACTCCCATCTCTTTAAGAACTTGCCTCAATTTGTTGTGTCCACACAATCAAAGGCTTTAGCATAGCTAATGAAGCAGAAGTAGATATTTTTCTGGAACTCCCTAGCTTTCTCCAAGATCCAGCGTATGTTGGCAATTTGATCTCTAGTTCCTTCTGTAAAATTCAGATTTAAAACTAGTTGATGTGGTAGCAAGGAAGCAACTGCATGCTGGCTGGGGAATTCTGGGAGTTGAAGTCCACATCTCTTAAAGCTGGTGAGATTGAGAAGTTCACTAATATAGACTGAACTTAGATGCTTTGTTCTTGTTGCATTTGGTTGAACTTAAACTAGGGGTTCCCAATCTTGGCCACTTTAAGATGTATGGACTTCAACTCCCAGACTTCCCAAGCCAGCCAGATCTTAAAGTGGCTGGGAATCCCTTTTAGATGCTTAATAATTATTAAAAATTTCTATGTCTCTTTTGAAAACAGTAGGCATATCTATATCGTGCATTGGGGGGGGGGGACTTAAACTAATTATATCTTTTTTTCATGCAGTGTTATAACTGATGAATGCCGCTCCACTTTGAAATCTCATTTTTCATGCAGCTTCTGGAATTCATAGTCTGTTTTTTTTTTTCCTGTGTAGGATCAACCATGCCGAGCGCCAAGCCCATCTTTGCTGCCTTCACCCTACAGCTTCTCTTCCTCCTCCTTTTCTTGACCGGCGTCTCCCCCTATTGCCATGTCAGCACAGCCGATGAATGTGATGAGCAAAAAGACTTTGTGCCTGGCTACAGCTTGGCTGGAGAAGGCCTGGACATCACCACGCTGGAGAAGAAGGCCAAGGTATTGGATCTGAATGAGTGGCAGAAAGCTGATGGCACCTGCACCCTGTGCCGTAACCCTCTTCTGCAGAATAGGCCTCTTCAGAGACTTCCCTTGGTGGCTGTTGACTGGACAGCCAAAGTGAAGTGTCAGAGGAAGGTTCACACTTCTCTACAAAGCTCTGGCATTGATGTGCTTCACGCAGCAGCATCTGATGTGAACAACGACTGGAAGGTGGGGCTTGATGTGCAGCCAAAACCCGGGGTTCAAGTCCAGATGACTATGGCTGGAACTCACTCCAAGATGGCGGACTTCACCATGCAGAAGAGTAACCAAGACAAGTACAGTTTTGCAAGCCACGAGGTCTCCTGCTCTTATTACAGGTGAAGAAGGCCCGGGTGAGGTATAATAGCTGGGAAGTCCTACAGGGCTTTACTGTAATCATCCATTTGTGTGGATGTTTTGAGGGCATCTTACGAGGAAATGGGCAAGCCCAGGTTTCTTGCCTGACAGGTAACAGGTAGTCCTCAACTTATGACTAAAATTTCTATTGCTAAGCGAGACAGTTGCTAAGTGAGTTTTGCCCCCTTTTATGACCTTTCCTGCCACAGTTGGTAAGTGAATCCCTGCAGTTGTTAAATGAGCAACACGGTTGTTAAGTGAATCTGGCTTTCCCCATTGATTTTGCTTGTCAGAAGGTCGCAAAAGATGAACACATGAACCCAGGACACCGCCACCGTCATAAACATGAACCAGTTGCCAAGTGACCAAATTTTGACCCCGTGACCACGGGAATGCTGCAACAGTTGTAAGTGTGAAAAATAGTCGTAAGTCACTTGTGTGGACTTCAACTCCCAGAATTCCCCAACAGGCCAGGTTGGCTGAGGAATTCTGGAAGTTGAAGTCCACCCATCTTGAAGTTGCCAAACGTGAGAAACACTGCCTTAATCCAACCAGCAGCTCTGAAGTTCCTATCCAACTATTAACCAGGCTTGATTCAGCTAGAGCAGGGGTAGGCAACCTTGGCTGTTTTATGACTCGTGGACTTCAACTCCCAGAATTCCTGAGCCAGCATGGCTCAGCTTGGAAACCTCTCCCTTTCTCCTCAGCATGGTTGGCTCAAGAATTCTGGGAGTTGAAGTCCACGAGTCATAAAAGAGCCAAGGTTGCCTATCCCTAACCTGCTATATGTTTCTACCTGCTAAGGCCTGGATGGTAATTAGTATTAATAACATAATTAGCCTTACCAGTATTCCTGGCACCAGATGGAAATGAGTCATTATTTCCATCAGAAGTGGAAAACTGAGTCAACAGTATTTCTCTGTCTCCCAACTGCAGCGTTCCATTGTAGTACTGGTTTCCATTTATTTATTGAAAAAAATAATTATGCTGCTTTTCCTACGACCACAGCTGAGCCCAAAATTTATGTTGCCAAGTGAGAAATTTGTTAAGTGAATTTTGCCACCTTTTATGATCTGTCTTGCAGCAGTTGTTAAGTGAATCGTTGCAATTGTTAAACTAGTAACACGATTGTTAAGTGAATCTGGCTTCCCCATCGTCAGAAGTTCGCAAAAAGGGATCACATGATCCCGGGACACTGTGACCGTCATAAACGTGAGTCAGTTGTCAAGCATCCAAATGTAAATCACATAACCATGGGGATGCTGCAGTGGTCATAAGTACCATTGTAGCTTAGTGTGCTGCAGCTGCCAAAAAGGCCAACACAGTGCTAGGCTGCATTAACAGAGGGATAGAATCAAGATCACGTGAAGTGTTAATGCCACTTTACAATGCCTTGGTAAGGCCACACTTGGAATACTGCATCCAGTTTTGGTCACCACAATGTAAAAAAGATGTTGAGACTCTAGAAAGAGTACAGAGAAGAGCAACAAAGATGATCAGGGGACTGGAGGCTAAAAAATACAAGGAACGGTTGCTAGAATTAGGTATGTCTAGTTTAATGAAGAGAAGGACGAGGGGGGACATGATAGCAGTGTTCCAATATCTCGGGGGCTGCCACGAAGACAAGGGAGTCAAGCTATTCTCCAAAGCACCTGAAGGCAGGACAAGAAGCAACGGATGAAAACTAATCAAGGAGAGAAGCAACCTAGAACTAAGGAGAAATTTCCTGACAGTTAGAACAATTAATCAGTGGAACACCCTGCCTCCAGAAGCGGTGAATGCGCCAACACTGGAAGTTTTTAAGAAGAGACTGGACCGCCATTTGTCTGAAATGGTATAGGGTTTCCTGCCTGAGCAGGGGATTGGACTAGATGATCTCCAAGGTCCCTTCCAACATTATTATTATTATTATTATTATTATTATTATTATTATTATTATTATTATTATTAACTTTGAACCATCACTAAACAAATTGCTGTAAGTGAAGGACAACCTATACGCTTTCTGTACAAAAGGTATAAAAACTAAAAGAGAAAGCAGGGGGAAGGGAAAAGTAAGCATTGGTTCAAATACGTTTAAAGGTTGAGTCATGGCCCCTGGACTTATTTTCTTGTTAGTCTGAGACATTTTGCTGCTCATCTAAGCAGCTTCATCAGTCAGAACAAGTTAGTTAGACACAGAATTGTTGGAATGTACCCAAATCCTCCTCCATCCACCTTAGGGGTTTCATCTCCAAAGTGCACTGCAATATGTCAATGAAGATTGTTAATCATCCAGGTAAAGTTGTCTGAAGTCATGGCACCTGGACTTATTTTCTTGTTAGTCTGCCTAACCAACTTGTTCTAGCTCAGGGGTAGGCCACCTTGGCTCTTTTATGACTGGTGGACTTCAATTCCCAGAATTTCTGATCCAGCATGGCTCAGCTTGGAAACCTCTCCCGTTCCCCTTCAGGAATTCTGGGAGTTGAAGTCCACAAGTCATAAAAGAGCCAAGGTGGCCTACCACTGTTCTGGTTGATGAAGCTGCTTGGATGCTCAACGAAATGTCTCAAACTAACAAGAAAATAAATCCAGTTGCCATAACTCAACCTTCAGACAACTTTACCTGGATGACCATCGAACTTCGCTCAAATAGGCTTTTTGATGGCTCTTGCTTGAGATTCATTGGAATTCAAATCCCTCACTATCTCCTGGTAGCACGTGGCCCTGGTATTTGTATATGATATGTGCTTATATTTAAGGGTGTACAAGCCCTATTTTTGTGAGGCTGGGCTAGCTGAGAGAGAGAGACTAGCTCAAAGTCACTCACTGAATTTCCATTGTTGAAGGTGGATCAGAATATGGGTCCTCCTGCTCCTTGTTCAACACCTTCTCCACCATACTCTCCATTCTGGGCCAAGTTGCCAACTAGTCGTAATTCTACCAAACTGGAATAAAACCCCAGAAGAGATTGATCATGTGAAGGTATCTACCCCAGATAATATAGCTGGCATCATTCTAAGTCAGTGATGGTGAACCTTTTAGAGACTGAATGCCCAAACTGCAATCCAAAACCCACTTATGCATCATCCAGTGCCGGGTGGGTGTGGCCCATTGGCTGGGCATGGCCCATTGGGTGGGTGTGGCCCATTGGGTGGGTGTGGCTGCGGTGGTAATGGCAGACTGGGTGGAACTAAAAAGTTCAATCAATCAATTCCAACTTTGCAAGATCTTTTTTTTTCTCACGAGAAGTTGAAAGTTGAACCCTTTTTTTTTTTTTTTGCACATGGCAGCGGAAGCCTAAAGCGAAAAAGTGTTATAAAACCCAGCTGAAGGCTTAGGACTGGGGCGACGGCGTGCGTGCCCATAGACAGGGCTCTGAGTGCCGCCTCTGGTACCCGTGCCATAGGTTCGCCACCACTGTTCTAAGTAATCAATAGCTGAATAATATATGATGATGTATAAACACAAGATATTTATCTGTACAAAACCAATATACAGATATGAAAGGGACAAGATGCGGAGGTCTCATGTTTTAAGGACTTACAAATTCATGGAGTACATATCCTTCTCTGATTGTTAGAAAAAAAATCACTAGGAATAGATCTGCCTAGTTTCTAGGCAATTTAACTCTTGATAACAGCTATGGGGAACATCTAACTCAGTGGTTCTCAATCTAAGCAACTTTAAGATGTCTGGCTGGGGAAGTCTGGGAGTTGAAGTCCAGACATCTTAAAGTTGCCTAGTTGAGACACACTAATCTAATTACTTGCCAATTCTGTGAGATTGCCACTCTTTGATCCCAAATTACTCCTTTATGATTTGATCAGAAGGTCTGCTAGTTCTGTCACCCTATCTGTCTTCTGCTTCCTTTTGTAGCTTCCATATCAGCCAATACATTCCCACCAGCCATTTCAGGCACGCTCTTCGCAGTCTCCCTGCCAAGTATCAACCTGGCTCCCATCTGGAATATCGTCAGCTCATTGGCATCTATGGGACCCACTTCATCAGTCACCTGCATTTGGGGGGCCGTGTGAGGGATGTGACAGCCGTGCGGGTCTGCGAGACAGCGTTGGATGGTGTGTCTGTTGACGAAGTTAAAGACTGTTTAAGCCTCGAGGCCTCAGCCAACATTGGGGGTGGCAAAGGGAGCCTCAGCGCAGCCTACAAAGCATGTGAAGAGCTGAAGAAGAAGAAGAGTTTCAAAGGAAGCTTCCACAACACCTACAACGAGAGACACACAGAGGTGGTGGGAGGGGAACAAAACACTGACTTGCTTTTTTCGAATGAACAAAACCCTGAAGGCTATAAGCAGTGGTCGGAAAGCCTCAAATCTATGCCCGAGCTCCTTTCTTACTCCCTGAAGCCCCTCCATAATTTGCTGCCTAAGGGTGACCCAAAGCGGGACAGTTTGCAGCGGGCGGTGAGCGAGTACATCAGAGAAAGGACCCTTTGGAGGAACTGCACCCAGCCTTGCCCTCCTGGCTCCCAACGCAGCCTCCGGGATCCCTGCTCCTGCACGTGCCCCAGTGACGGCATCACTAACACCATGTGCTGCTCCCGGGAGCGAGGCCAGAGCAAACTAACGGTGACGATTCGACGTGCCTATGGTCTCTGGGGAGATCATACCACAAGAACGGATGCTTACGTCAAGGTATTCTTCCAGGGCATTCAGAGCCGGACATCCACTGTGTGGAATAATGACAACCCGGTCTGGATGACCCACTTGGATCTGGGGAGAGTCCAGGGCTTGGGAGAAACCAGCAAGCTCCGAATACAAGTCTGGGATGAAGACAATCGTTACAATGATGATCTTCTGGGCACGTGTGACCGAATTCCCAGGTCTGGGAAATCTCAGACCCAGGTGTGTTACTTTGACTATGGACGCCTTGAATTTCAGTATCATTTGGAATGTGGCCCCTTCTTAGGGGGGCCCTATTGCTTGGATTATGCCCCTCAGCAGCCACACAGGGCTGCTATGTTGCAACGTGGAGCAAAGTGAAACCCATGATAGAAACAGGCGGGATAAAAGACTACACATAGTCCTCCACTTTTGACCACAATTGAGCCCGGTTGTTAAGTGAGTTTTGCTCCAGTTGTGACCCTTTTTTTGGTCACAATTGTTTGTTTGTTTTTTTAAAGTTTTTTATTTATAATACAGTTAAAACAAAAATGGACATAACATGACATTCCAGAATAAATATTCCTAACAATTTGTTCCTCTTAATACATATAATTAATACATCATTCTTAATCACTAAATAAACTTATTCTTCTATACAATTATATATACAGTTATATGTATTTCTGTCTTAACACTAGCTTGACGTCCGAGCAGTTCTCCTTAATTCATACCAGTAATAAAATTTATCCCAGATTTCAAAGTAGTCTGATTCTGTCTTATCCTTCATTTCCATTGTGAGCCTATCCATTTCAGCACACAATAAAATTTTATATAAAATCTCTTCTTCTGTTGGAATTCCTTTATTCCTCCAGTTTTGAGCGTATACCAATCTAGCAGCCGTGAGAATGTGTAACATCAAATAGAATACCCCTTTGCATATTTCTGCGTGGTTATGCCTAATAAAAGGAGTTCTGGTTTTAACTCTACCGCTAGCATTAAAATTTCTTCCAACCATTTTTTTAACCTTCTTCCAAAAATCACAGGCTCATGGGCACTCCCACCATATATGATAGTATGTCCCAGTTGCCAATTTACATTTCCAACATTTGGAAGAAGCATTTGAACCCATTCTAGCTAACCTTATGGGTGGGAAATGCCATCTATAGAACATTTTGTAGAGATTTTCTTTGCAGGAGGTGGCCTGTTTCTTGCCCATAGTTCTTGCCAGATCTGCAGATCAAAGTTGAGATCAAAATCCCTACTCCACTTTAACATGGTCTCTTTTACCTGTTCCTCATACATTGTCTGGTCTAACAAATAATGATATAGTTTTTTAATCATTTTATCCTCCATACCTAATAATATTTTATCCAGCTCTATCGGTTCTAATTTTATGCCTAACTCTTTTTTATCTTTCCAATATCTCGCCTGTAATTGAAGGTATGCCCACCATTCTAATTCTATCCCTTTGTCTTGAAGAATTTTCCTGGGTTCCAATTCCCCTCTCTCGTCTAGAACATTTTTATATGTTATAATCTTTCCTAGTTGGATAAACTTTGGATGTACATGCATTTATAACGGTGAGATCCAACTAGGGACTTGAGTATAATTTGGTTGCCAGACTTTAACCCATACATCAATTAGAGCTTGTCTGATATAATGCCTTCGAAAATATTTGTGTGTCTTATATTTGTGATCCCATAACATAGGGTGGTCACAATTGTTAAGGGAATCACTGCAATTGTTCAATGAATCATGGGGTCATTAAGTGAATCTGGCTTCCCCCCCCCCCCAGACATTGCTTGTCAGAAGCCAGCTGGGAAAGTTACAAATGACCCCGGGATGCTGCAACTGTCGTAAATACATGTGACTATGTGGATGCTGCAATGGTCATATGTGTGAAAAATGTTCATAAGTCATTTTTTCAGTGCCATTGTAATTTCGGTCACTAAACAGTTATAAGTCAAGGACTACCTTAATTCATGCTACAGCTTATTTTTAAAGCGTGCCCTGGGTTTCTTCTTACAAGTTCTTGTTTAATGTACTGAAGATCAGTACTTCTCAATCTTACCAACTTTAAGACATGTGGGACTTCAATTCCCTATGCTGGCTGAGGAATTCTGGGAATTGAAGTCCACACATCTTGAAGTTGCCAAGGTGGAGGTACAACTACTGTAGGTCTACAATAGAAAAGCTAAAACAGGGAACACAAAATGGGACAGGTTGCTTATGTACCAAGCAAAACGAATCCTAGATGCAATGTAGAATGCTTTTTCGCATAAAGAAATGGAAATCATTTTTTATTGTGGTGTCAGTCAAATCAGCCTGCAACATTAGAATTATGCAATGTTTGGAAAAGGTGCTTCTAAGGAAGCACAACACTTACCTGCAGCCTGTGACGAAAGGTACATGATTGCTAGGAATGCCTTTTCAAATTTTACCTTGATCATTGCCTAGCCTTTCCCAATATTCCTTTTCATTGTCCTCCTGTTTGTTTTCCTAGCTGTATTTTTTTTTAAAAAAATCATATTTGGAAAAACCATATGAAATAAACTGTCACTCCCCAAATAAGCCATGTACCACACAAATACATCATACAAACCAACATTGTATTTTGAGCACCACGTCAACAACAGTTAACAACTAATTTACCTCTTTAACAATGGCATTCCACTGTTCTTTGGGTACCAGGCATTCAAATTTCACATCTATTGTCTCCCTATAATCCCAGACATCTAATTTTGTAACTAGCTTTTAGAGGCATATTTGATATCTTATTAATGCGGAGAATATGCATAGGCTTCACTTAATGTTAAGAGTTATTTTTACTGCTTTCTTGCGCTTTGGCCCAAATGAAATACTGCTTGGGATTGACAGTTCTCAAACAACAGTAATCTGTAACTTGATCCAATTAACTGATCTAGAAAATATACTCTCCCCAGATTTGCAGCCAAAATATTGCCTTGCTCATTTCATGTTTTAAATCCTCCCCTGATGTTAATTTAGCTGCATGTTCATAAAGATGAGTTTGTAGTTGTATTCTAAAGCTCACATCACAGAAGGGGAATATTTGAACTTTCTAAGGTAACTTGCACCCTTGCGCTCTACACTTTTTAAAGAATGGAAAACGCACTGAATCCATGAAAAGTAAATTTCAACAGGCAAAACTTGTCCTAGATCAGTGGTTCTCAACTTTTTAATACCGTGACACCCAACCGGTCGTAAGTCGAGGACTACTCAACCGGTCGTAAATCGAGGACTACTCAACTGGTGCAGCACCGTTTGCAGAATGGGACTTTTGGCGGGCTCAGCAGGGCAGAGACAGCCTGGACAATTCCTATTGGCTTTTGAAAGCCAATAGAATTAGACTCTATTCAAGAGAGTCTATTCTATGGGCTTTCAAAAGCCAATAGAATAAAAGGGAGTAGCACAGCTAAGGAAAAGGGGGGGAAAAATGGCGGACTGCGTTGTTTGGCGACCCCCGTGAAATGGTCGTTCGACCCCAAATGGGATCCCGACCCACAGGTTGAGAACCACTGTTCTAGATTGATTTTAAAAGTGCGCTTTAAGTCAGAAACTTAAATGTGGAAAATTAAAATAACCCCCCAAAACATTTGTAGCTTTTGAAATTAAAAAAAAAAAGAGCAAGGGAAATCATTTTCCCAAGGAAAACTCATTAAATCCCTGCAAATAAATTTTAAGAATCTTCAAAAATACTGTACCAAGAATACATTGCGCAATATGTATTTTTAGAACTTTAAATACAGCCAAGAGGAAAAAAGAAAGTCTAAATCATCTTGAATCAAATTTGAAAAAGACGGGAAACAAGGAGGTATAGATGGGAGTATGAATGAATTTGAAATAGAATTATGCAAAGATGAGTAATAGTAATAGTAGTAAAATTGGAAGGGACCTTGGAGGTCATCTAGTCCAACCCCCTGCTCAGGCAGGAAACCCTACACCATTTTGGACAAATGGCTGTCCAGTCTCTTCTTAAAAACTTCCAGTGTTGGAGCATTTACTGCTTCTGGAGGCAGGCTGTTCCACTGATTAATTTTTCTCACTGTCAGGAAGTTTCTCCTTAGTTCTAGGTTGCTTCTCTCCTTGATTAGTTTCCACCCATTGCTTCTTGTCCTGCCTTCAGGTGCTTTGGAAAATAGCTTGATTCCCTCTTCTTTATGGCAGCCCCTGAGATATTGGAATACTGCTATCATGTCCCCCTTGTCCTTCTCTTCGTTAAACTAGACATACCCAATTCTAGCAACCGTTCCTTATATGTTTTAGCCTCCAGTCCCCTGATCATCTTTGTTGCTCTTCTCTGTACTCTTTCTAGAGTCTCAACATCTTTTTTACATCATGTGATTGCGAGAATAGATATAAATTGCTGTTAAATTACAACACGGAACAAGTTAAAGAATGTAATACTACATAGATGCTAAATTCTTGGCATGGTATTGGCATGGTATTTGGGGGGGAAATGTGGGTAAAATATATTTACTTTGCAATAATTTAAGAGGAAAATGTTGCAAAATGATGCACAGATGGCATTTGACACCTGTGAAAGTTAATACCAAAATATGTAAGTTAATACCAAAATATGTAAGAACATTTTAAGTAAATGTTGGAAATGCAGAAAAAAGGATGGAACCTATGATCGTATATGGTGGACTTGTGAAGACACCACAAGAATTTGGTTGGTGATTCACAGAATATTGATGGAAATTATAGGAATCCCTTTTCAGATGAAACCAGAACTGTACTTATTAGTCAATGGAAGAACTGAGTAAAAAGCACAGTGCCTTATTGTTGTATAAGATCACCGTGACAAGATTATTATTTGTGTAGAAATGGAAAAAATAAAGTCCTAAATATTGAATATTGGATATTTAAAGTTATGGCCTTAGCAGAGATGGCAAAACTGGTGCATCCAATAAGAGAGAAATTTACAGAAGATTTTATTAAAGACCGGAGGATGTTTAAGGGTTGTATTACAAAATTAGAGAAAAATAGCTTGATGATAATGGGTTTATAGATAAATAAGGGGAGAATACAGAAAATATAAATGGTGATTTAAAAAATATGAAAGAATAAGAAATGGTTAATGGATCCATGAGGACAGTGAAGTGTGGAGTTAGAATGTATATTTTTAAGTTGCATATTTAGTTTTGTATTTGCAGGTTTAAGTTTCTGTATTATGTTCTGTATTGTTTTTTAATGTTTATTTTTATGTGTAGAATTTTAATAAAGTTTTAAAAAAATCCTTGGGCCTTTTTTGATTCCTCAGTTTTGCTTCAGCAGAGTGCTTATGCAGCGCACTCAATACAGAAGTATAGGCTAGGTTTAATCTAGGTCACTAGTGGTCTTAAACATCCATTTCTTGTCTTTTTACACACATTTAGGTGTGGTCCCAATAATACTTGCAAAAGCTGTTACCCAATTGCCATTTTTAATGTGACAGGAATATGAGGATTGCTAAATAACCAGAAACTTCATTTAATTTTATATTGTATTGACTTAATTTTAACAAACGTTAATTGCAATAATCAAATTTATTTTTCCAGCTTCACCCATTACTTTTAAAATTCATGGCTACACACACACACACACACACAGAGAGAGAGAGAGAGAGAGAGAGAGAGAGAGAGAGAGAGAGAGAGAGAGAGAGAGAGGATGGAAGTGATTATGCAAAATAAGAACATGAAAAGATGGGTATCGGATCATTCGGTTTTGCAAATGGGGAAGGAAAAGTGGTAGCAATATGATACATATATTTTCACATATGATAATTTAACATTAATTCAGCCAGACTGAGAGTGGGGGAGAAATGAAACCTCTTTAACATTTATCAGCGCTTACTCAACATTTCCGGCAAAATTAGCTTGGGAGGTGGGAGTCAAGACAAATGACAAGATGGTGACTCTCCTAGAGATGGGCGTCTTTGTTTGACGTAAGTCTCCATTAATAAATCATACTAACCATTTCACACCACTGCTTGGAGGACAACAATCAAAACAATCTCCCAGATGCAGGATGATCACACACATCCAGGTATTTTTGAACACTAAAGCATGGGGGGGAGGGGACATTAAATTAAGAGCGAGGTAAAAGTACAATTTATTTGACATTACTGTTATCAGAGCCTCTTTTGCAAGCATCAAACGGAAACCCAAAAGCCACATCACAGTTTGTTTACCTCCCTTTGTATTCTGTAGGAGACCTAGTCAGGAAATGGAAAGAAATATGACACATCAGAGCTATTGGTGGCAGAATTGTGTTTTTTTTTTTTTTCCACCTAAAAGTGTTGAAGGAAACAGGTATTAAAACAAAACGTTTGTTTCTCTTCACCAACCTAACCCAACTGCTACTCTTCCGCTACCGATCCTGCACAGGAAAAAGCTAGTCAGTAATTTTAAGAGGCAATCTTTTTTTCCCCCCACTAGGCATTTTGGTGGATATTTGAGAATGGAATTCTACTCATCACTATCCAGCAGGGGAAAGCTGGGATAAAAAAAATACGCACACTGATTCTCACAAGGTTGAATTCCATGAATTCCACAAAAGGAGGAATAAAAGAGTAAGAAGACAATTTGTGGGTGCAGTGCTGCACAATCGCAAAACTACTTTTGCATCTTTGGCCACACAATCCTGTCATATTGCATTAGTCTGGTTTGAAAGCATCACTGATTCAGACAGGAAGGTGGTGCAGGGAGTGGGTGAGGATGGCAGAAAAGATTATTGGCAGTTCCCTCCGATCCATCCAGGACGTGGCACAGAAGCGTTGTTTAAGCAGGGTCCATAAGATCTGGGACACTACACATCCTCTTCATAACCTGTTTTCCTTGTTCCTTGTCTGACAGGAGGGGGCTTCATGGTATCTGAAGCAGAACATCCAAATTCAGTCAGTTTTGTTCCATACAGTATCAACCTTGTAAACTCTCAAGTTTCCTCTTTCCGCTATGTATTCAAGATGGACAATGACTAATATTTATATGAAAGGATATGGGTATGTACATGTGAATGTGTGTGTGTGTGTGTGTGTGTATCATGTTTATGTGTTATGTATGTGTATTTTTGAAAACAGGCAACAGAATTTCATTTTTAATGTGTGCAAGTGTGTCCACAGTAAAAAATGACAGTACAGGTTATCTTAGTTGAGCCTAATGCTGGGAAAGATTGAGGGAAATAGAAGAAGGGGACAACAGAGAATAAGGTGGCTGGATGGAGTCACTGAAGCAGTAGGCCTGAGCTTAAATGGACTCCAGAAGATGGCAGAGGACAGGAAGGCCTGGAGGAACGTTGTCCATGGGATTGCAATGGGTCGGACACGACTTCACAACTAACAACATGCATTTTGAGGTCCGGAAATATCCTAGAATAGGTCTAATGTAATCTAAAAAAAAAAAATCCATAACTTACTCACTCAGCATAACAATTTCTGTTCTCACCTACATTTGTATCATCACTGCACCATGAAAGTGGTGGGTTCATGTAAATTTAGGCCTCAGCCCTCAAGATTGCCCATCCAATATAAAACACTGCATTCAGATGAAGTATGCTAGCACAGTGGTTCTCAACCTGTGGGTCAGGACCCCATTTGGGGTCGAACGACCATTTCACGGGGGTCGCCAAACAATGCAGTCCGCCATTTTTTCCCCCCTTTTCCTTAGCTGTGCTACTCCCTTTTATTCTATTGGCTTTTGAAAACCAATAGAATAGACTCTCTTGAATAGAGTCTAATTCTATTGGCTTTTAAAAGCCAGTAGGAATTGTCCAGGCTGTCTCTGCCCTGGTGAGCCCGCCAAAAGTCCCATTCTGCAAACGGTGTTGCACCAGTTGAGTAGTCCTCGACTTACAACCAGTTGGGGATCGCAGCATTAAAAAGGTTGAGAACCACTGTGCTAGCAGCATCCTTGCACCCACCTACCTACTGGCTGCGGAAGCAAAGTGTTTTGTTCTATAATGGGAGATCTCCAAATTTAGCAACTTTTAAGACTTGTGGACTTCAACTTCCAGAATTCCTCAGCCAGCATGGAAGTTGAAGCCCACAAGTCTTACAGTTGCCAAGTTTGGAGAGCCCCTGTTCTATAATGAGCTATTCCCCAAATCTTAAAACTTGGTGCTGGTTGCAAGCAGGAAGTTCTGTTTTCCCATCCGCTAAATTCAAGTAATCACTCATCTTCAATAAGTGTCTTTTGATCCTTGACTGATGCTGTACATCTGGTAACTCTCAGATCCCAGTACATATCCTTGAAATCAATCTGCTGGTATCTAGTTCAGGTGATAAATGTTTTGTTAAATTTGAGGGGGTCCCTTTTATGCATCAATTGTATCACGTTTTCTAGTTTATCTTGCTGAACCTCTACAAAGAAGACAAGGAGATAGTCTATTTGTAGACCCAGCTATGGCTTCTTGCAAGCTTCATCTAGCAATGGAGTCCAGCAGCTCAGGTACGGAGGTTGCTCTGGAAAAGGAAGGCTTTTGATACACTAGCAAATCCCAAATGATCCATAGACCCTGACTTAAATGAACGGGGTCTCACATCCAGCAATCTGGAACAAAGCTCCCGAGAGACTTAAGAAACGTCCAGGTGACCATCACATCGTTACTCGTGCCCCGACATCTTGGCTGATGCCACACTCGATACACATTTCTGAAATGTCCTTTCCCACTTCTGGCCCCAGCCAGGTCTTGGTAATACATGCCAGATTGATCCTCTCATCTAGGATTAAATCATCTCCATTTCCAAATCGCACATGAGGGAGACCTCATTATAGACCAGTGATAGCAAACGTTTTAGAGACTGAGTGCCCAAACTGCAACCCAAAACCCACCTATGTATCATCGGGTGCCGGGTGGCCGTGGCCCATTGGGTGGGTGTGGCCCATTGGGTGGGCATGGCTTCAATGGTAACGGCAGACTGGGTGGGACTAAAAAGTTCAATCAATCCATTCTAACTTTGCGAGATCTTTTTTTTTTCTCGCCACAGGTTGAAATTGATTGACTGATTGAACCTTTTTTTTTTTGCACATGGTGGCAGAGGGCTAAAGCGAAAAGGTTTTATAAAACCCAGCTGAAGGGCTAGGACTGGGGTGATGGCGTGCATGCCCACAGAGAGGGCTCTGAGTGCTGCCTCTGGTACCCATGCCATAGGCTCACCACCACTGTTATAGACCAACCCAGCGTTTAGTAGCAGTAGCCAGAAGCCAGGGCCTCTGAAGATCTGATCGAGAAGAAGTGTCTCTCTTTAGGATTTAAAGAGACAAACTACTTTGTAACTGTTTTTAAAAGTGCTTTTATTTTTATATTACAAAATAATCTGTGTCAGTCTACTTTCGAATACATTGAGACTTCAAGGGAATTGGGGGGGGGGGAAGCTTAATTCTCTGATATATATATTTTTTTCCAAAATACAAAAGTACTAGATTTTTAGAGACAGGACCAGGAGATACTAATTTCCACTTGTATCATGATTTCCCAACATAATTTAGCTAGACTTGTGTGGGGAAAGACAACAGGTGACTTGACCGTTACTCCTTGCTAGAATGTTCGAGAGACCTCTGAACATGATATTTAGGCCATCTGGATTCCAGATCTCTGCAAGCCCCATAAGGGCCAAAGTTTGTAGAGTTCACTCTCAATCCTTTTAAAAGTTGGCACTGGGTTATTTATCAGGACTAAAAGATCCAAGAAGGAGAATGAAGTAATTTGTGGTCACGACCAACAGTTGCACGCACACGATTTCCCAAGGCACGTAGGTGGAGAAAAGACACAGCAAAAACTCTAAAGATAATTGGAAAATAGCTTGGCAACCCGAATATTTCAGCCAAGAATGAACCAGGATGCGTTCGTCTGCCATACTCTTATCAAAATAGGTTGTGTTCTCTAAGACAAGGAGAAAAATCCAACAAACCAGCTCAGGATGAAGAGTAGATTTTCCACCCCGCATGGCTGAGCATAGGGTGGGAAGGATCAAGGATCTGCTCCAACCTCTGCAGAATAATCTTTTATCTTCCTTTGCTCTCTGGTGAACATAGAAAGTTTTGTGTGGGGAGGAGCCATTTTTTTAAAAGTGACACGGCATGAACTGTGACAGGTTGAGGAAGGTGCTGAAGCCGGCCCTGGGAGAGAACTGGGGGTGGGGGGGAAGTGCCATGATCAGTAAAAGGAAAACTAGGCTTGCTTGTGGAGTTGCTTTGTTGCGTCTTTACAAGAATAAACAACAACAACAAAAAAAGGATTCTTTCTTTGAGGATACTTTCACGGAAGCGACTGATTACAGTTTCCACAAGGATGAGTCAAGACTACAATATACATTGAGGAAAACCTTTCAAAAATAAACCAGAAAGGTCAAAACCAAAGGAGCAGAGACCGTTATGACTGTTATAGGCACCTGGACGTGGTTTTGAACGTAAGGGAGGTTTCTAGGCGTAGGCAGCATGTGCTTTCAAGACTGGAGGGGCCCTACCGGTCATCTGTAGTGCAAAGGCCTCCCCAGTGATGGGGGAACAATTCCAGGATAGAGATGAGGCTCAGCAGAAATCCTAAAAAGAAGAGAAAAACAATTCCAAAGAGTGACTCTTTCTATTCTGACCCCAACAGAAAAGCTCTTAATATAGGGGTGGGCATCTATAGCCCTTTTATAACCTATGGACTTCAACTCCCAGAATTCCTGAGCCAGCGTGGAATTCTGGGAGTTGGTCCACAGGTTGCAAAGGAGCCACAGCCGCCCACCCCTAGCCTACTCAGGTGCCTAACTTGTACAATAAACCTTTCCAAGGTTTTCAATTCCTTCCAGGAGACATGGGACACATACACACACACACACACAAACACACATATATATATGTAGGTCTTTGGAAGTGTCTTGGCGACGTTTCGACGAAGTCTCATTCGTCATCTTCAGGCTGGTGCTTTCGGCTTCGTGCTTCTAGGAGCACGAAGCCGAAAGCACCAGCCTGAAGATGACGAATGAGACTTCGTCGAAACGTCGCCAAGACACTTCCAATTTTACGTGGGAAGAAAAACCCGAATAACCAAAGAACCTACATACAAAACACCGCGAAAACCTCAGAAAACATATATATATAGATATATATATATATATATATATATATATATTATATATATATATATAGATATAAAGTTGGAAGGGACCTTGGAGTTCTAGTCCACCCCCTGCTTAGGCAGGAAACCCTATACCATTTCTGACAAAATGGCTGTCCAGTTTCTTCTTAAAACTTCCAGTGTTGGAGCATTCACCGCTTCTGGAGGCAGGTTGTTCCACTGGTTAATTGTTCTGTCAGGAAGTTTCTCCTTAGTTCTAGGTTGCTTCTCTCCTTGATTAGTTTCCATCCGTTGCTTCTTATCCTGCCTTCAGGCGCCTTGCAGAATAGCTTGTCTCCCTCTTCTTTGTGGCAGCCCCTGAGATACTGGAATACTGCTATCATGGGGGGGGTTGGACTAGATGACCTCCAAGGTCCCTTCCAACTTTATTATATATATATGTTTTCTGAGTTTTTCGCGGGTGTTTGTATGTAGGTCTTTGGTTATTCGGGTTTTCTCCCACGTAAAATTGGAAGTGTCTTGGTGACATTTCGACAAAGTCCCATTTGTCATCTTCAGGCTGGTGTTTTCAGCTTCGTGCTTCGAGAAGCAACGCACGAAGCTGAAAACACTAGCCTGAAGATGACGAATGGGACTTTGTCGAAACGTCGGCAAGACACTTCCAATTTTACGCGGGAGAAAACCCGAATAACCAAAGACCTATACACACACACACACACCCCTCTTTCCTCCTCTCATTAAATGGCTACGGCCCTTTTCTTTTGCTCACATTTATGTAATTTATAATTTGAATATCATTTCATAAATTATAATATAAAGCACTTTTAGGGATGCATCTCGTCACCAGGTCTCTGTTCAAGCCTGCTCAGTGGGCCAACCAAGTTTAACCCCGCCGCATTTTGGGGGGGTTTCATCTCTTTCTACGTACCGCCAGGCTTTGATCATGCAGCATGAAGGAAGACACCAGTGGGGAGTCCTTCTAAAGTGTAACGGCCAGGATGATGATGATAATAATGATGAGTGCTGTGATGGTCAAGCAGATGCCAATCATGAACTTCTTCTGCAGAGCCCCAAAACAGAGAGAAGGCAAAAAGAGGTGAAGAGATACAGATGGGGAAGCATCTCAGCTCCTGCTGTGCTGGATCCTCTCTCTGCTGGCTTCAGGGAATTGCAGAGGAACTATGAAAATTTCCTTACCCACAGCGTACTGGCTCAACGCACCTTTCATATCTCCGAGATGTCACCGTGTGCTACTAGCTATTTTGGACTGCGGCGATTCCAAATGTTTCCCACCCCACCCAAAATTGAAAGAAAAAACTCCCAGGAGAGTTAACCCTTGTTAAGATGCAAGTTGAAAGGTATTTCATTTTATAGAATGTGCACACTTTAATACAGGTAATTGACTTATAACAATTCTTTTAGTCACCATTCGAAGTTACAACTCCACTGGAAAAAAGTGACTTATGACAGTTTTTCACACTTACAACCACTGCAGCATCGCCATGGTGAAGGGATCAAAATTCAAACCCGTGGCAAAATGACTCATATTTATGACGGCTGCAATGTCCCAGGCTCATGTGATCACTTTTTGCAAGCTTCTGACAAATCAAATCGCTTAATAACCATGTTACTTAACTGAACAACGGTGGCAAGAAAGATGGGACAAAACTCCCTTAACAAACGTCTGACTTAGCAACAGAAATTTCGGGCTCAGCTGTGGTCGTAATCTGAGGGCTACCTGTGGGGGCTGAAGATGGGGGGGGGGCGGGCGGTTTACCTTGAGTGCTTTCTTCTGATTCTCCTGAGCTGTGTGAAGGTGCTGCTGCCCTTTCTTGACGTAGTCCCCGGAGTCTAGAATGTTCTTCTCTATCCTGTCAATCGTTTCTCCCTAGATGGAATCAAAAAGGGGACATTTAGATATAAGAAGCTTTCGGGCAAACATAACCAGTTCTGGGGGCAGAACTGATGGACAGAAAAAGAAGAGAAAGACTATAAGAGGTGCCTCCGCAGCCCGACCGTGAAATTGGGGGACAACTAGTGGCAGAGAAAAAACAAAGCAAACAAATGGCGGTTTAAAAATGTCCAAAGGTTAGCAGCTCAACCTTTGCATCATTAATAGTGAGTAAAACCTCCTAGAAAGCACACGCAGGAAGTCTACTTGACAACTGATAGGAGGGAGACTGGATGCTTGGGAGAAGAAGCCTGGGAGAGATCCCTGACGCCACAACAAGCTACAGGTGATCAGCGTCAACCTGACTAAGGTGATCGGGCTAAAGGTCTGATTCAACAAAGTCTGACCAGATCATTTCCCCACCCCCAATCCCCTTAATTTTCTCCTGCCCCTCCCCCCCCACTTCATACTTGCAGCTCCACTTCTGTAGCCAGGAACATAAACAGGTCATGCAGCTCCTGGATACTGCGCTCCAATTTCAGAATTTCACTGTGTCTGGTTTCGATCTCGTTCAGAGCCTGCTTTGTCACTTGGGTGTCCTTCATGAGCTGCATGAAAAAGGGTGACGTAGATTAATCCCCTTGTTTAGAGCCCTTTTCCTTCTTTCAAAGGACCCAACATTCTGATACTCACATTTGAAATAAATACTTCTGTCTGACCGCTCTCCAGCATCTGATCCAGCTGTTCATCAGATACCACCGTGCTACCAGCTGGAGGGAATAAAAAAAAATACAGTGTCAATGTCAAGAAGCTTTTCAATCTCCCATCAGAAAAGGGAAATGAAGTTCAAAGTATCTTTTCTCCAGCAGTTTGACCCTTGTTTTGCCCTGCGAACAGAATCCAAAAAAGTAGGGGATCTATCTGAAGCGTAAAGACCCAAAAGCCAAGGGGTGCACTGGAATTTTGAGGTTATCTGCACCCCAAACGCTCTCTTGTGGCAAACTGCATAGTTGGAAGGCAGAGAACCCGATAAGGTTAGGGCTAAAAACCCTCTGTATTTCACAACTGGCTGACATCGGCTTTGTTGCTCAACACCGAGGAGTTGGTTCACACATCTTGAAGTTTCCACGGTTAAGAAATAGTGCTTTAAAGCAGGGGTCCCCAACCCTCAGTCCGTGGCCCACCACCGATCCATGGAATGCCAGAAACCGGGCCGCACAAACAAGCAAAGCCCCATCCCTGGGATGTAGGCAGCACACGAAATCACACACCCTCCAGGCCACAGAAAAACCTCTCTCCATGGAACCAGTCCCTAGTGCCCAAAAGGTTGGGGAGGGGCGCTGCTTTAAAGGATGGCATTATCCCTCAAATACTACCTATCTGAGGGATAATGACTTGGCTAATATATAAATAGCACACATTGCTGAAGGGCTTTATAAAACTGAACCTTTAGAGGTGGAAGATAAAAAAATAACCCTAGAAACTTTAGTAAATTTCTCCCAGGAAGAATGTATCAAACGTTTTTGAGAAGGGACAGGCTTTTAACTCTTTTATGGCTTACATTGGATAAGCTTCCAATGATTTTTAAGAAATCGTGGTCAAATGGGCTTCAAAGGGCTACAGGTAGGGAGACTAATGGCACATGCAATTTTGGGGCTGGAGGTTTTTCAAGAAAAGATTTTGTCTGGGATGGTATAAGGATTTCTGTCTTGGGCAGAGGGCTGGATTAGAAGATCTCCAAGATCCCTTCCAGTCTTATGATTCTAGGTTGTCCTTCCTGTTTTTTTTTTTTTTTTTTTTTTAAAAAACAGATATTGAGAATGAGGATCCCAGGTACTGGACTATAAAATAGGCATTTACCCCTTTCTTGTGGGTCTGATGCCTTTCCACCTTGCTGAAGAACACAATAGGTCATGGGTAGGCAACCTTGGCTCTTTTATGACTTGTGGACTTCAACTCCCAGAATTCCTGAGCCAGCCATGCTGAGGGGAAAGGGAGTTCCCAAGCTGAACCATGCCAGCTCAGGAATTCTGGGAGTTGAAGTCCACGAGTCATAAAAGAGCCAAGGTTGCCTATCCCTGGACTAGGTGGTATGTTCTCTCACTTTTAGTAGGCTGATGCCTGAAATCAGCCACAAAGACGTAAAAGCCTGAGCGAGAGTCAGCTGGAGCTGCAGGGCTATCAGGGCTCGGAAGCACCAGGATCAGCGCCAGGCTCCAGCTGGAGCTCGGCGCTGATCCTGGCGCTTCTGCTGAGCCCAGAAGAAGCGCCGATCAGCTGGAAAGCGGCACTGATCCTGGCACTTCTGCTGAGCCCAGAAGAAGCGCCGATCAGCTGGAATGTTGCAGCCTCTCCAGGGTCTTGTGATTTACATTCAGATGCTTGGCAACTGATTCATATTTATGATGGTCACAGTGTCCCAGGGTCACGTGAAGTGACCAAAGCCTGTTGCAACCACCCAGCAGACAGGGGAGAATAAAAACCAAACTTCATTCCTCTCACAACTGGAAACCTGTCAATGCTAGTTTTGAGCTTTACAGGAGCAAGGTGCCTAGTTGTTGTTGCTGTTCTTAGCATGCTATGGCCTATCTTGTCCCCGACTACACTCAGGCCTACAAAGAATGTATCGGATGTATAAATTGAATTTAAACAGACTACTTAGGCCAGCTTTAGGATGCTGGAAAATCATGTGATATTCTTCAACGGTGGAGTTCACACTTCTTTTCACACATGGACATCCAAACAATTATGTTGGTGGGGATTTGACAGCAAATCACAAAATGGAACAGGTTGGCAATGGAATGCTTCATTTTCCTTCCAGAATGTTCCCTTAATTTCTCAGATGGGCAGGTCTCAGAGTTACATTACAGTATGCTCCTGAGTCTTAGGCTACAGGGCCATGCATTTTTTAAAAAGCCTCTCTAACTCTTTTCCAAGAAAACAAATTGCGTTTAAAATGCATAATGAACATTAAATTTGCATATTAGTTTGTTCTGCATAATTTTTCTATTTCTATATTCACTGACAGAGCTAAGAGTTTAAAAAAAAACCCTTCTTTCAGTTAAATTAATGGTCATTCCATTCATGGAACAGAACACAACATTCCTGCTTTTTTAACCGCTATCTCTTTAAAGAGAAAGAGTATAGAAAATAGAATATCACATTTGGACATTCTCCCTTATTTATTGAATATATTTTTTTTTATATTGCTTCCTACACTGAAGCATCTGGAAGCAATTTACAATAAAAAATACTGACTTCTGGAGGATGAAATGGTGGGCTGAAGATGGCTTTTGAAAAGTAAAACAGACAATCGTGACAAGCAATGAAGCTCTGGTGAGTCGATTGGCTTTATTAACCTCTCCAGACAAAGTGAGGTAATTGCCACAAAGTGCTCCAGACAGTTGCTCCTTGTGAGGAAACCTCAAAATAAGTGTCTCGGATGGGTTTTGAGTACTGGGAGATGAGGTAAAACATTTTGCTCAAGCTGTGGTTGGCTCCTTTAAAAAAATACTAAGTTCACATACTTTTTTTTCTAATCAGAAAACTGTGTATTAACTACTTTTCAGCTATTAGAACCTTTGGACTGACAAATCTGGAAACACCGGGTAGGGTTTGCTTTCAATCGTTAATGAAAGAAAAATTTAACTGAAAGCTTAAGGAATTTGAAATAAATAGCAAAAAGCTGATTTTAGAAAGGATCCAGACAAATTGGAAATAATATTTTGCAAATTAGTTATAAGAAATTTTTCCCATAGGGAAGCAGACTTGTTTTGAACATAAAGAGATAAAAAGATTTTAAAAATTGGGACTAAAAAGGCAGCTAAAGATTTAATTAAAGGAGAAAATACATCAGCCCGATTGAACAACTACAGAACAATGCAAAATATTTTAACACTGGAAACATTGAAGGGTGCTTTTGAAAAATGGAATCAGAAATTAATTATCAACAATGTTAATAGCGATATTTGCTTCTATAGATAAGCCATGTCCAAAAAAATATTTTGGAAGAAATGACAGAAGAGAAACAAGTTTTATCTGACAAGATAGAGACACTGAAAGGGATCTACAATTGACAGGATACAAGAATGACATGGAAAAAGTTGTTTCATCAGACATAAAAATGTAATCCATTGATATTTTAAAAGTTAAAAGAGAATTACCAATAATAAATAAAGAAAGTGATCTGGATAATTCTGTCATATTAAATTTACAAAAGAGGTTAGTTAAAGCTTGAATGAAACTTGTGGGAAGGATTAAAAAATAAGAATTAGTTCTACAAGAGTACTTGAGTGGACTAAAATTAAGACTGTTAGAAGTAAAAGAAAGGAATATGAAGTTGATTTATTTGATCAAGGTTAAAACAGATATGTTATTTCTGACAACTTTTAAAGGCCTTTTGCTGATACCAGGACTGAAATGATGATGCTTTATGGATTTATTTATAGATAAGAAATGGAACATGGGATGAAGAGATCATTGGTTGTAAAGTAAGAGGTGAAAAAGTATTAAAATTGTTTATACTTGTTATGATGAAGGCTGGAAGTCACTTCTTTATATATTTCTTTTTCTTTACTCTTTTCTTTTACATTTTTTTCTTTTCCTTAGCACTTTTATTTTTTCCTAATTTTTTTACTTTCTTCCAGTTTGTGTTGGTTTTTATTGTTGCAATTATAATCTTTAATGAAATTACTTTAAAAAATACAACAAAAGCAGCAATAAAAGTATATAATGATAACTAATATATTAAAGGGATGTAATGTATTCTTTATAAAACCCTAAAAGTTGGTGTCTCTCAAATGTCCAGAGAAAGAACATTCTAGAATGGAGGCACCATCGTTAAGGCCCATCTGTGAGCAGTTGCCAGATTTCTGAATAAATGCATGATAATCTCAGTAACTGACCAGATCTATAACCGAGATTCTCTAACAGGTATCTTTATTTGCAATAGTGGCAAATATCTGTAGCTCAGGTGTAGGATGAGGGTGAAGGTTCGTTCTCTGAGCTTGTGGGTTTGTTTCCAAACGTTTCGTTACCAGGCTACCATCTTCAGCTGAATTTAGGGGAGTTTAGGTATCTTTGTCCCAAATAACTAAAATTTTGAATCTGGCCCAGTAGCTATCTGGCCACCCTCTGGGACTTGCCTTAGCCATAAAATATCCAAGTATTTTTGGCTGTCACATTCTTTCTGCAGCAGGCCCATGATTTGGGGCAATCCTACAAGATGATTTGACATTAAAATGCAGTATTTTCTGTGCCTAGCAAAGGCAACCACAAATACTCACTAATCTGTAGATGCCGTTTGATGCGCTCCAGATTTCGGTCTCGGTAGTCAGACTGTATGGTGTTGCATTTATTGATGAGATCCAAGAATTGTTGGGAAAGGATCCCATGCTGAAGCAGAAATGTACATAATGAGTTATGCAGACCATTTCCGCCTCCTCACCTTGCTTCCCCCATCAAGGCCACCAATTGCTTTGCTTCTCACCTGATTTCTCTTCATTCGGTTGTTGAATGAATTTCTGTTCTCATCTTGTTCCTCCTTCGTAGGCTCAATTTCTACATAATTAAAAAGTGGCTACAATGAGATTGTAATGCTTATTTCAAGAAAGAGAGATCTGAGGATTAAAATATTTAATTTTTCAGAGCACTAGATACTAATTCCCCAGCCGAAGAGTCAAGATACAACCCTCTTTGTTTTCCTCATAAGTTGTGCGCACTCACTCTTCAGACGGACTCTGGTGTCTTTCGCCAACTGCTCAATCTCTTCGCGCAGCTTTTGTAGGCCTTGCTTCATGTCTAAGAAAACACAAGTGAAAATTCAAGAAGGTGCTATTTTTCATCGTATCCAATTCTTGCAAGCTTTGTAACTGAGCTACACTGCCCCCCCCCCACTTTTCCTCCAGAAAACTAATCAGGACTATCTGTAAACGAGGGGAACAAATTTAGTCCTTGTTTAGCGACAGCAATAGGGACCCTCAACCCAATTAAGCAGCCACAAAGCGAAAAATGATGTGATCATGACTGTTTGTGATTTTACACAGGAGACCCCTATCAACCAACTATAATGGTAAGCCTCTGACTGGGAGAGAGGTGTAAATGTGGGCAATTAGTCAGAAAGTTACTTTTCACTGTAACTAGGAATAGTTGTTGTCTGAGGCAGTCGCTAAGCAAGAACTGCTGTTGTTGACGCAGTGGTTAGAATGCAGTATTGCGGGCTAATTGTGCCAGGAGTTCAATTCAGACCAGCTCAAGGTTGACTCAGCCTTCCATCCTTCTGGAGTCGGTAAAAACAAGGATCCAGATTGTTGGGGGCAACAGGCTGACTCTGTAAACCGCTTAGAGAGGGCTGTAAAGCAGCGTGAAGCAGTATATAAGTCTAAGTGCTATTGCCAGCTGCAATCCATTGTACGTCACACCAACTTCTTCCTGAACAATCCTGCAAAAATCTTGTCTCTTTTATTCCTTTGCTGAAAAGTCTGATTCATAACTGCTTATTTTCTTCTGTATAGGTAGCTCTAGCTTAGTAACCACAATTGGTAGTGGCAGTTCTGTTGCTAAGTGCCTCAACTGCCTAAGCGAAATATCACATGACCACAGTTTATAATTTTATTTCTGTCTTCTCTATTAACACGGTTTGTTGTTGCAAGCCAGTTCTGAAATGGCCCGAATGGTGATCACATGATTACGATGGCCATAAATGCAAGGGTTGATTTCAAAACCTTTTTTTTTTATGCTGACATAATTCTCAATGGTCATTTAGCAAGGCAGCCAGGAAGTGAAGACTCCCTGTACTTTATAGTTATTTCTCTTCAGTAGTCTCTCTCTTTCTCTTTCTCTCTCCAAACCTCAGTTCTTCTATTTCTACTAAGAATCCTACTGCCAAAATAATTCTTCTGACTCTATTCACAGCACAAATTCCTTCCCCTTGTTTTTAAATCTATCTTAAACCCAACTCACTTTCTTTCAGTTCTTGTTACAGTCAACCACACTGGTTTCTATTCCTGATTCTTACTCTCAACTAACCAAAGGTCTCTTGCTTTCTTGATCAACACTGACTAATCTTCCTTGCTGCCTCATTTGTGTAAGTCTCCTGTTTGAAGCATGTTTCCTTTTTCCGCTAATTTCTTCTCAAAGATGGTATTTCCTTTGCCACGTCATCTTAAGCCTCGGTTCTAGTTTAACCAAGCTTTAAAGAGGGACTGCAGCATTTACAGTTAGTTTTCTGTTTGTAATTTTGGAACGCGTCACCTCATAAGCAACGGCCTGCAACATGCCGTATATATTTAAGCCCACAGGTTATACGCTGGCAGATTGAAACATAATCATTGGAAACCTACTGTCATCGGGGATGGGTGAAGCCATGATTGTAGTCTGGTTTTTCTCTAGGTCCTTCACTTTGCTTTCCAGTTTCTTCAAGGCTTCACGGATGCCACGTGTCTATAAAGGGGTTAAATGACATAATGAAAAGGTCAATATCAATTACTAAATCTTGGCCTTATCTCAGAGAGCTCAGAAACACTGATGATACAACTGGTTCTTCTAGGTCGGTGGTTCTCATCCTGTGGTCCATGATGTCATCACGGGGAGGGGGGGGGTCTGTGAAATCTTGAAGAAATGTTATGATTTAAGTATTGAGGATCCGTGGCCGTGGTCCGTGGCCAAAAAAGGTATTTAAAGGACGTCCATGGTGAAAAAAAGGCTGAGAATCACTGTTCTAGGTTGATGGCCAACCTTTTAGAGACGAGTGCCCAAACTGCAACCCAAAACCCACTTATTTGATGCCAGGTGGGTGTGGTCCACTGGGTGGGCATGGGTGTGGTGGTCATGGCAGACTGGGTGGGTGTGGCCAAGGTGGGCGCGGTCACCTCGATGTTGCTCATAGGAAGGGATGCCTGTGGGGGCTGGGCAGGATTGGGGGAGATCCAGGAGGTCTCTGGCAGGTGGGGCAGTGGGCAGGAGGCTTGTCCTGCGGGGAAAGGCGAGGCAAGGCGAGGCAGGGCGGGGGTGCCATTTTCGCAGGGCAAGGCGAGGCAGGGGCCGGGGCGTCTGGTGTCTGACACCATCGGCCCCTGCACACAGAGGCCAGTAAGCGCAAGGGGGCCGACATCAGCAGCCAAAGCCTGCTGGCCCCTCAACCGGCACACTCTGGGGCTCCGCAGCCTGCCGCCAGCAGTTCAGAGAAGCCGCCTCTGAGCTGGACAGCCGGCCGACAGCTGAGGAGGCGATGCAGTGGGTTGTGCCCAGGAAAAGGAGAGCATGTGAGGCCAGGAGGGATGGGACGAGGGGGAGGGAAACCAGCCATGCTGGGATACACCCGGCCATGTGGGACCTCCGTGAGTTAGCGGGTGGCTGGTTGAAGAGGAACGGTTGTCATCTCCAGGGCATGGTGCCTGTGCTCACAGAGAGGGCTCTGAGTGCCGCCTCTGGCACGTGTGCCATAGGTTCACCACCACTGTTCTATAAATATTTTTTAAGTATTTCAGAAGAAAATAATTACAGGTAGTCTTCACTTAATAACCGCCCTTTTTAATAACCATTCAAAGTTACTGTAGCACTGGAAAATTAACTTTACAACCTGTCCTCTGTCTTATGGCCACTGCAGCGTCCCTGCAACCATTTGCCCACTTCATAGCCAAGCTGAGTTAACGGAGAAACTGGAAGATTTCAAGTCACAATCGCACGTCTTGCTTAATGACTATGTCACTTAGTGACAGAATTGCCGGTCCCAGTTGTGGGAGTTAAGTGAGGTCTACCAGGCAGCAAAGTGGGCAGCGGCATGTTTTTATATGCCAGTTTTTATTTCTTTCAACAACCAATAGTGCACCATACAGATAGTCCTCGACTTACAACTATTCATTTGGTTACCGTTCAAAAATACAACAGCACTGGAAGAAGGGACACGAGCATTTTTCACGCTTATGACCACTGCAGCATCCTCCACGGTCACGTGATCCAAATCCAGACGCCGGGCAATTGGCGTGTACTGATGGTGTTCTTGGATCACAGGATCACCTTTTGTGACCTTCTGACCAGCAAAGTCCACGGGGAAGAAGCTGGACTCACTCAACAACCGTGTGACTAATTTAACAACTGCAGTAATTCACTGAAGAGCTGTGGCAAGAAAGGCCGTACCATGGGGCAAAACTCACTTAACCAGGGTCTTACTTAGCAACAGAAATGTTGGGCTTAATTGTGGCCGTTAAGTTGAGGACTACCTGTACCACTTTCAATTTCTGACCACTTTTTGCATTTCTTAAATTTCCTCTGTCCATTTTCGGCAAGCACTTTATTAAGACGCACTGTACACATTAATCTACTTTAGTTTTCCCTTCTTATAAATAAACCCACAAATGTTCACTCCATTTTCACGTTACATAAAACCTCCATCTTTAATGCATTACTTTTCAGATCCATTCTTTTTCCTCATACGGTCCAGCGTGAGCTGCAAATCATCTTGAGTTCTCATTTAACCCCGCAGGCTCATCTGCAGGCAAAAGTACACGCACGTTCTCATTCCCATCCGGCGTATTTTTACCGACACTACAGGCGCTACACTTCTTATACAATTACCCATAAACAGATTAAACAAGCAGAGGGATTTCTTATATAGCCTTGTCCCGCCGCAATATCACATCAACTATGTACTAAAGCATTCAGTTTTTCTCACACGTTTCTATTGTATACCACTCTAACTGTATTTGGCAAACGTATATCACCACAAATTGCAACTCCACATTCGAGAGTGGAATGGGACAACTCGCCCTGGTTGACTCGCTGTGGGACAATTCAACATGTGGGATAACTCAAGAGAGAGAGACAAGAGTAACTCAATCCTTTGGTTCAAGGATGTCTGAGCTGAGAAGATACAAATATAAAGTGAGACAAGGTTCACTACTATCCACTTGTCCCTCTCTTGAGCTGTCCCATGTTGAATTATCCTGTGGTAAGTCAGCCATTGTGAGACAGCCATGGCGAGTCAGCTGTGGCCAGTTGTCCATTCAGGCAAAACGTTTCATTATGCAAGTTATTTACTTTATGATAGATTTTTCTCTAAACCAACATATATATATATATATATATATATATATATATATATATATATATATATATATATATATATATATATATATATATATATATATATATATATCCTATTCACATAGTCAACGTCCTGCTGAAAATAATAAGCCTGATCTACATACCCTCAACAATCAATGCACTTTTGCTCACCGTCATATTTTTTCTGTCAAAGTTCTGCTAAACATCTTCCCAAGCACTTAAACTAATCCTGCTTGGGGTGTGTGTGCTGCATTTACATAATTGCATTTTTCTCTAGGTGTAGGAAAATAACAGCATTTTCTTTCTCAAGTCAGATATGAACGCAATATTCACAAATACGTTGAATGGCCACTCCGTATTTTAATTTTTCCCAGGCACACCATCTTAATTGGCAGCTTCACTATTTTTCTACATTATCAAAAGATTTACAACTTTCTTTTCACCCTTCTTTTTTTGGGGGGGGGGCACTAACTTTAAAAGCATTTAACTTCACCCTTCAACATATTATTGTAATTTCCATACAAATCTATAAAATCTTCCTTCAAGCATTTTCTTATTTTGTCTGCATTCCCCATGATTTTATTTCTTTTTCATGCATATGCAAAAATAAATCTATTCTTAACATATTCAAAATACAGATCGTTTCCTAAGCAGATATTCCCCAAGATATTCCTGGGTCTTTGAATGGCTCATATATATTTTTTTGACAGGAGTATTGTTGTACCTTGTTTCAACTGTTGTCCACTGTTCCCCAAAATTCATTCCAGATTCTTTTTGTTAACCCCATTCTGTGGACTGTAGCCTAATACCAACCTATTTTCATACATACTCATGGCAAACCAGTAATACCAATACATAATTGCTAACATACATTTTAATTCTGTCATTCATAACTAAACCCACACCTTTGCTTTCATGCATGTATTCATCACCATGCTCTTTCAGAACACACCCAAGCTTCATTCAGATCCACTGCACTCTTCCTCCTTTTCTTGATTTCATGAACAGCATAACTACTTTTTTTTTTCTTTCAAGTTTTGGGACATTTGGGCAGATAGGCTATCAGTGGCAACTAAAGTCACTATTCTATATAAGTTTTGGTATCTATCCTGGAGATTTTACAAGCCAACAAACTGTTGCCTTCCTCTCACCAGTTAAGAGAGCAATGCAGCACACCAATAAATTCAAGGTACTAATGAACACTGGTCAAAAGAGTCTTAGAAATTTTTCAAGTAATTGGTATTGAAAAGGAATTATGTAAAGAAAATGTGTCTATTACTATAATTCAGGGCTTTTCAACCAGTGGTACGGGTACCACCTGTGGTACATTGGCACCTGGCAGGTGGTACGCGACCCTCCTAAAAAAGTGGTAGCGGGGAAGGGAATGAGCTGAACCGGTGGCAGCACCGCACAAGCCTGAGTGAGAGATGGCTGGAGCTGCAGGGCTGTCAGGGCTCAGCGGAAGCGCCAGGATCAGTGCCGCTTTCCAGCTGATCGGGGTATCAGGGCTCAGCGGAAGCGCCAGGATCAGCACCAGGCTCCAGCTGGAGCTTGGCGCTGATCCTGGTGCTTCTGCTGAGCCCTGAAGAAGCACCAATCAGCTGGAAAGCAGCACTGATCCTGGCGCTTCTGCTGAGCCCAGAAGAAGCGCCGATCAGCTGGAATGTTGCAGCATCTCCAGGGGTCTTGTGATTTACATTCAGATGCTTGGCAACTGATTTATATTTATGACGGTCACAGTGTCCCAGAATCATGTGAAGTGACCAAAACCTGCTGCAACCACCCAGCAGACGGGGGGAATAAAAAACAAACACCCCCACCCCACTCCCCACTGCCAATCCCCAACAGAAATGCTCACAATGAAAACCTCGGACAGGAGGAAGAAGGCCGTCGGGCAGGCCAGCAGGTGTCTTGCTTGGCTGTGGCTTGCGGGGCACTTTTTTCAGTGCCATTGTAACTTCGAACAGTCACTAAGTGAACTGTTGTAAGTCGAGAACTACCTGTACTTTATCACTTTTTGGGGGGGGGGTCATCAAGTTTTTGACACCTTGCTAGGCGACTGGTGGTATTTGGATATTGCCATATCCTAAAAGTGGTACAATGGGTGAAAAGGTTGAAAAGGCCTCTTATAATTCATATCTTTAGAATCCTATAAAAATAATCTAATCATCAACACGACACCCAAATCACGTAGGACTTTGAAAGTTATCTTTTTCTTTCCTGTCCTCCCAATGCATTAGAGCAGCAAAACAATGTTTTCTGCAACACTGGACATATCAAGCAATCAAACAGTAGGGTGTTGTGGCCAAAACCTGGCTCACCAGAGCAACCAAATTGCTTTGAAGTTACAACATAAACAGATTAAGCATAGAAACAATCACAGTGTACATTGCACTTCCAGCAAAGCACTGGTTGCTTGCTGAGCAGCCCTGAGCAAAAGCAGAACCACAACTTATACATCTTTGGCCTGTTGCATTTTAAAGACCAGACAAAGAAAGAGGCAGACACAGTGTGAATTACAGCATAACATTGGAATGTTTTTGGATAAACCCATTCTTCTCATTACTGATCCTTTCCTACTAGGTCAGCATACTAGCTGTACTATCTTTGAGATACACAGTCAGTGAATATAAATAATCTGAGCTATTTGGGCCTCTGATTCCTGTCCGATTCTCCCCTTGTTGCCACTCAGGATCAATTCAGCTAGCTGCGAATGTTTTCCTGCAAGGGGACTATAAACCGTTCACAATAGGGGGGAGGGAGGTATCTTATAGCAGTGGTGGCGAACCTACGGCAGGCGTGCCAGAGGCGGCACTCAGAGCCCTCTCTGTGGGCACGCGCGCCGTTGCCCCAGCAGAGTTCGCCAGAGTAGCGAGCATGTGGCGTTTGGAAGCGACAGGGCAGGAAGTGAGCGAGCAAGCGGCATTGGCCTCCCTGGGGATGCCCCAGAGATGGCGAGGGACTGGCCCTGGCCACATTCACCCAGTCTGCTGTGACCACTGCAACCACGCCCACCCAGTGGGCCATGCCCCCCCCCAGCCCCTGAGGGCACCACAATGCTGATGCAGCCCTGGCATTTTGTGATAAATAAGTGGGTTTTGGGTTGCAGTTTGGGCACTCGGTCTCTAAAAGGTTCGCCATCTCTGTCTTATAGCGTTAGTAGGGAATGCAGTCACTATGTTTAAATGGGTACTTTTAATCGCTACAGGAAGAAATGGAGTTTTTACAGAAAAGAGAAAAAAAATTCTTTCACTGTTATTTATACATGCACACAGCGAAAACAAAGAAGTGCTCAAGAAAGAAGATCATAATACCATTTGGAAAAATTCATCAGTAGGATCAGGGGAGTTGTGTTTTGCTGATCCACGCTGTATGACAAGAGCCACACGTTCAACATCTTCATTGTCGGATTCATCATCTTTCTGTAGAAAGGAAAATAAACGAAAGAAAGTCAGGTACAACATGTCTGAGAAAGCACACATACCTCATGCATGGCAGGTACATGTGACCACAGGGATGCTGCAACACAAGTGCAAGGACAGATTGTAAGACATTTTTTTCAGTGCTGTTGAAATGTTGACTGGTCACTAAACAAATGGTTGTTAAGTCAAGGTCCACCTTGAGTTGAATGCTACATCATCTGGATCGTCAATGGATGCAGAAAATGCAAAGTCTTTCCAATCATGTAGTGCCCATCCAGATTTCTGCAGTCCAGTTAATGTAGCCCAGCCCCAGGAACTACTTACTTAATCATTAATCTAGAGTTCACTTGTAATGACTGAAATGAAACTGGGTTTATTGTATTCCTCTTTCTGGTCGTATAGGCTATAATCTGCAAGGTTTGTGCAGACTTTTGTGTGTGAATTCAGAGGTTAATGCTACTGCTTAACCAAAAAAAAGTCCACCTTGTTAACCAGTGCTTTTAATGTAGAATTTTATTATTTTATTATAGAATAAATTTATTTTATAGAATTTGGAGGGAAAAAAATATGTAGCTGACTTTGGCAACTTGGCATGGTTGGGCTCAGGAATTCTGGGAAGTGAAGTCTACAAGTCTTAAGAGTTGCCAAGTTTGGAAACTGCTCAGCTAAACAATAAGAATTTCCTCCCATGGAAATTCTGTGTCATTGCTATAACTCAGTGGTCCTCAAACTGTGGTTGCATCAAATACATGTTTTTTAGAAGACACCAAGCACAGCACATTCTCTTAAAGAATCATGAGTTTCCAAAAGCTAACAAGTCTCCTTTCTCAAAATGTAAGAGAAAGTTAGTAGAACTATTGCTACTATTTAATTAAGCTAAATGCTTTGGCCAATTAAAATTTTAACCATGTAGTACAATTATCTAGCCCTGATTAATTAGTAGGGTTTTGCTCTAAGAACCACAATTATGTTCTGAGAATAGTTGAATCAATCCTCTCCCTTCCTTTATAAAATTTTAGTAGGCTATCTATTAACTGGAAATAAAACTATTTTTCATCTTATTGTGAAACAAATACCCTTTCCAACAAAAACCACAGGCAGCTGGAATCAGCTCTCTTCTGGGGTTAAAAGAAATTACATTTAAAAATGCTTTAAAATAATTATAGGTACAGTAGGGCAGCCATGCTGAATCAGTACTTAGTAAAATATTTATTCTGCTACACAGGGATTTAAGAATTTTGGAAGACTAAGGAAAATCCAGAGAGCCAGTTTATGGTATGTTTAAGGCAGGGGTAGGCAACCTTGGCTCTTTTATGACTCGTGACTTCAACTCCCAGAATTCCTGAGCCAGCCAGGCTGGCTCAGGAATTCTGGGAGTTGAAGTCACGAGGCATAAAAGAGCCAAGGTTGCCTACCCCTGGCTTAAGGCATCACCCCAGAAAATGGGAGCCCATGATTTTTAGTCCATCTCCTGTACATGTTTACTTGAGTGACTTTCAGCCAGTTATTTTCTCTCGGGCTATGAAGGAGGCAATTGCAAACCACTTCCAAAGTCTTGCCCAAAAAAACTGCAATGACTTCTCCAAACAGTTGCCAAGAGACAAGACTGAGTCAAAGGGACACACACACACACAAAAGGGAAGTCCACAATACAGGTCTAATGAATATACAGATTTAGTGCCAACTGCTGAGACAACAAAAAGCATGCATAAATAAATGCGTAAATAATTTTATACCAACACATTTACAAACCCCTCTGAGACAAAATAAAAACTTGCCCTTCCACTGCAATTCCATGCCAAAAGACCAGGTCACGCTCACATTCTTATCCTGGAAATCCAGGTCAGCTCTCCCTACTGATGTTAATCAATCACCTTGCCTTTAGATTAGATTGGGCAGTGGCAGCTGACCCTTGGCCACCTGGGAGTTCCTGCTTCACCTGGTACTTTTACTATTCCTATCAGGGCCCGGCCGGCATCGGGTACGGGGAGTTGTAGTGCCAAAGATTGAGGATGGCTCCCAAATCTTTCCTCTTTCAAGCTTCTGTCACTTTAGGCTGACAGCCATTCCCTTAACCTAGCGTTTCCAAACCTGGCAACTTTGAAGATGTGTGGACTTCAATTCCCAGAATTCCCCAGCCAGTTGTGGCTGGATAGGGAATTCTGGGAATTGAAGTCCACAGAGTTTGAAGTTGCCAAGGTCCAGAAAACACGGCCTTAAACTTTCTCTGGGGTGACACTGCCAAGGGAGAGTTGGGGGGGAGGGCTACAACCATGCCAAGAAAAGTAACCAGGGAGGAAGGTTTTGTGTGTGTGTGTGTGTGTGTGTGTGTGTGTGTGTGTGAGAGAGAGAGAGAGAGAGAGAGAGAGAGAGAGAGAGAGAGAGAGGCTATGGGTCTGTAGAGGACGGGAGAAGGAAAGAAGGCAGTGCATAGGAGGGAGGGGAAAACTGCAGCTAAGGGGCAGAGATCATTGGGAGGCCAGGTGGAAAGAAAGGGGGCGGCCGCCATTTTAAATAAGATTATTATCACTCTTCCCACTCCTGTGCTGGAAAGAGAAGAGGCAGGACCAAGCCAGGTTTTTCTCCATCCCAGCCCGGGAGGACCTTCTATCTGCCCGGGCAGGAAGAGGAAGCAGCCTCAGGCACTGACGACGGAGCCACTAAATCGGGGGGGGTGAAAGAGGATGTGTGAATGGGGTCCAGTGGAGAAAGGAAGTTACGAGTCAGGAGGGAAAGGGGTATGAGCCGCAGGTTTGACTCGAGGGGGTTGGTGAGAAAAGCCACCCAATTTGCGGAGGGGGCGGGGGAAGGAAGACAGAATAGCCTGGAGGAAGCGGCGGAGGGCAACGCGAAGCCAGAGCGGCCGGTGGCGCGAAGGGAGGCGCAACCGCGACCGTTGTGGGCGGGGCTAAGCCGTGCGTCGTGAAAAGGGGCGCGCGGGCGGCGTTCTCACCTCTCTCAGCTCCTGCGTTCGGTCTCTCATAGCTTTGTTTCTATTTTTTTTTTCACACCTCGGAGATTGAACTGGCGAAAGGGCGGGGAAAAGAGAACGGAGGGGACCCAAGGCGCAGGCGCACGAAACGCTCGCAGACTCTTAGCCGACTCCTCCTTCCTGGCAGCTCGATGGCTCTTGAGGGCAGGAATCCCCCTCGGTCGGACAATGACTAAGTAACACACCGTCCCGGTCTGCGCATGCGCACGTACTTCCACCTTCCGAGGGTCCGGTTTTCAGTCTTCCTTCGCCCCCCCCCCCAGCCAATAGAGAAACCGAAACAATCAAACCGGAAATATATCAAACCCCATAATGAATGTAGAACTATGTGAGAATGGCAAGCTTAAGAGACCGCCATCCTTTCTCGACCGGAAGTTGGTTCTTAAAACAGGAAGCATTTTCAGACTACCGGGCTAAAACGTTACTTCACGGATTTAATATGGCCGTCGCCGGAAATCCATTTTTCTCAACCGGAGGTCTTTTCAACCGTCTGCTAAAAAGCGCCATAGAGCTACGCAAAGAGTGTCTCTTTCCTTTAAGGTTTTTTTTTCCTAATTAATATTCCCGGTTTATACGCCAAATAATGTCGGTTTATCTGAAAAATGAACTACTCAAATATATTTTCTTGTCCGAAGTCATTAGGTTACCGCACTGCCAGCCTCTACTTTTAAAGATAAAGTATTGTCTTACCACAAGTAAAAAAACAACACTAAGCTCTCCTTTCTCACAAAAAGCAAATAGCCGCCTTTCTCCCGCGCTTCCTTTTGACTGTTTTAGAGATGAGCAGAAATTCAGTCTACAGGTACCATGATGAGAAATCATTTAGGGGCTGATTTTTTTTTTTTATCAGGATGTTAGTCAGCCTCTGAAGAGGAAAAAACAAAGTAGCTGACTTCATCTGTGAATGAAACAAGCAATACCCCCACCCACCCACCCCTTCCTATAATTGTCCTCCTCCCATAATTGTACTAAAGTGGGAAAGAAATAGAATAAAGAAGAATAAAGTATAATAATAATAATAATAATGAAAAATCACTAAAAGCAAAAATCATGTGTCTGCATAATCTCTGAAAGAAAGCTGTGTTAGCCAAAAGCTATATTAACAGTACCTGAATGACCTAATGCAGTGATTCTCAACCTTTCTAATGCCGTGACCCCATAATACAGTTCCCCATGTTGTGGTGACCCCCAAGTGGGTGTGGCCACCAATAAGAGGGAGTAGGACAGCTAGGGAAAAAGATGGCGGACAGCATGGTTTGGCGACCCCCGTGAAATGGTCATTTGACCCTAAATGGGGTCCTGACCCACAGGTTGAGAACCACTGACCTAATGCATATTTAGAAACATTGTATAAAAGTAAAAACTGCCTTCATTGTATTCCCATGAGAAGTGGAGCTAAGTGTGAGAAACTATCTGAATGTTACACAAAGTAGATTCCATATACAATGTAAGATTCCATCTATGCCTCCTTAGTTCCTGAGAAAAAGAAACCTATAAAGCTTTAGTTTAGACCCTCCCCCTTGTTCAGAAATTTGTTGATTGTTAAATCACTTCTGAACCTTTTGCGCAAAAATAAAAATCTCTCTTTCACCCTTGGAATTTCGTTAAAGTCCTTTATTTTTTAAGGCTTTATTTTTCCACAAGAGTACAGTAGTAATACTAATCCTGTTAGATTATTATGGTCCGTTGAGTCAACCGTGGGAAGAACATTCAATTCAAAAATAATTTTATTCATGCGCTCCTGTGAATGTCTTTAATCATCAACATGACTTGTCAGTAGCCGAAAGAAACTGTGTTGCAAAAAAATAATAATAATCTCAATACGATGTTGCAGCTTAAACTTCTTTCAGTTGATAATTAACAGCCAGGCTAAAACTGATAAAGCCACATCTCTCTCAATTAGCAAACAGGCAAAATCCATTCAAGATATAGATCTCTCCCAAACGTACAAATGTGACACCCTGTTGGAAGAAAAGTCTTCATCCTGGTTCATCCAAGCTGGGAATAAATATGGCAACTGCTTTGGGAAGAAGGTTGTAGTCTATTGGAGAGGAGAGCCAAACAGGAAGATGGTTCTGGTGCAAGAGAAGTGAAAAAAGGACCGAATACATGTAAGAAGTAGGTTTCTTTTACCCTCTGGAGCCCTTTGTTTGGTTATTTCCTGTTCCTGTTTTGAGGCTATTTCCTATGTCATATATTCTGATCTGAGTTTGGGTGTGCCCTTTGGCCTTTGTGAGTTAATCCTACCATGTCCTGCCTCAGGTGGGGTATGCAGATTTTAGGTCTTTGTCTTCCTAATCTCCTAGCTCAGCGGTTCTCAACATGTGGGTCGCGACCCCTTTGGGGGTTGAACGACCCTTTCATAGGGGTCGCCTAAGACCATCGGAAAACACATATTTCCGATGGTCTTAGGAACCGAGACACTGCTCCTCTATCCGTCTGCAGGCGGTGGGTCCATCCATGCTGGCGCCGAGCCCGGGGTCTGGCAGGGTCGGACAGTGGGGCCAGGTACTGGTGGAGAAGGAGGGGTGAGCCACATGGAGCGAGGCATGGGGCAGGAGGGCGATGAGGTGGCCGATCACAACGCAGAAGCGCCACAGCATGGAGCGGCGCAGCTGAGGGTGGGCGGGCTGGCAGGCTGTGGGGGAGGCGCGGCCCTCCACATGATGAAATTGCAGGCAGCGCCGCCTCGCTAGCTCTGCCTTGGCTGGCACGGGGTGGTGCCACACATGTGCGGCAGTCCTGGCCCAAGGTGGTTGCTGGGTGACAGCCCGCATGCGTCCTCAGCCTGCCCGGCGCACTCTCCAGCCGCAGGAGAGGAGACGGAGCGCACATGCCAGAGAGAGAAAAAGAAAAAGTGAGTGTGTGTGAGAGAGAATGAGAACGAGCAAACCCCGCCCTCCTCCTGCCCCTGACCGCAGGGAAATACAGGTAGTCCTCAACTTACGACCACAAGGAAGCCCCGAATTTCCATTGTTAAGTGAGACATTTATGAAGTGATTTTGTGGGGGTTGTAGCATTAGGAAGGTTGAGAACCACTGTCCTAGCTCCAACTTTCCTGGTGGTTTTCATCTGCCTTTGTACAGAGCTGGTTTCTGCTTGGGGGAGGCAGACTTGAGGCTATTAAGAAAAACTGGGCATGCTTTTCTGTTTCTTTAAGATCCTTGGAGGAAATATATTTTTCAGCCCTTTTAATATTTCCTTCTCTGAGTGGCTAACTTCCCACCACCCTAAAGTCAACACAAAGGCGCACACAAAAGGAAGATCTTACACACTCAGCAAAGTTAAATAAGAACATCAACCCATCAGAGCTGCACATCCGCCAAATTAAACATTTCAAAGGGCATGTTCATACACCTCCCCAAAGACCACTTTTCCTGTAAATATTACACAGAAACATGCAACAGAAAACTGAAAGCAGAAAAAGACCATGGGCAGTCAGGAAAGGATCTTTCATTTATTAATGTGTAACCTCTGGTATCCTGAAAGGAATGTTTTCCTGAATGGCTGTCACCTTTGGTCAGTTTTATTCTTTTTGTGTGTGTAAAGAATTTCCATATCCTGAGGGGATTTCTAATGGCTTTGATTGAGATGTCTGCCAACTTCCTACCGGCTTCATCCAAAGTGCCAAACTTGGCTGTGTAGAAGGAAAAGTCTTCATCAGGGTCCAGTCCAAGCCAGGAATAAATAACATGGCAACTGCTTTAGAAAGAAGGTTGCAGTATACTGAAGAGGAGAGCCAGACAGAAAGATGGCTCTGGAAGAAAAGAGGCAGAGCACATGTAGGGAGTGTGTTTTTATACCCTCGGGGCTCTTGAGGTTGTTCCTGTTTGAGGCTTTGTATTTCTTGTGTCATGTACCTTAACCTGAGTCTGAGTGTGCCCCTTTGGCATCTGTGGGTTAATCCTATTATGTCCTGTCTTATAGTTTGGGTGGGGTATGTAGATTTTCAGTGTCTTTGTCTTCCTAAGCTTCTAGCTGGAGGGCTCCTACCTTCCTGAATGGATTATCACATCTGCATTTCTACAGAGCTGATTTCTGCTGGGGAGAGGGAGACTTGGGGCTATTAAGAAAAACTGGGCATGCTTTTCTGCCTCTTTAAGATCCTTTGAGGAAATATAATATTCTGCCCTTTTAATATTTCCTTCTCTGGGGGGGCTGACTTCCCACAGCTGAAAGGCTCAAGTGATTCTTTATTTTGTGACCTGAGGTTTCCTGGCATCAGACATGCCCAAGATTAGTGATCTGGCTAGAAGGTGCCATGGAGGCTTTTACCTTCTAACACACAGATGTCAAACTCGCCATGTCACGTGACGTGTCACAACATATCGTGACTCTTTTTGCATTGCCAGCAATGGGGTGGGCGTGGCTTCAGTATGATGAAACCAGCCTGCGGGCCAGCAGTTTGACACCCCTGTTCTAACAGCACAATTCCATAACTTCTCTAACAGGTATACTGGCTCTCAATGTGCTAGTTATGTGCTGTCTGGTTGATGTCACCTCGTAGCAACCACATAGGTATGATAGATTTTCTCCATGTTGATCTGTCCCTAACCTGATGTTTCAGGTCTTCTAATGGTACTATCCAAAGCACTCTGACTGCTGGTTGTCCTCTTTTCTACAACTTTTCCTAACCATCAGAGCCTTCTTCAGAGAGCTAGATCTTTCCGTAATGTCTCCAAAGCCGGCTATTTGAGCATAATCATTTGTTTCTTGAATGAGAACTTTGGACGGATTCATTTGATAATAAATTTCATTGTTTTCTTGGTTTCCTATGGTGTTCTCAGGAGTCTTCTCCATCACCAGTGTTCAAAAACATCAATATTCTTCCTAGCCTGCTTCTTTAATTCCCAACTTTCACTTCCATAGAGTTTTACAAAGAAATACCACTATCTGTGATATTATGTTTGTAGCATTTGAATATTTTTTTTCATAGTTTTTCAATATTATAGCATTTGGAAATTTTTCCCAAGGCCTTCACGGATGTTCTACCAAATGCTATTATGTGATATATTTCTTGGTTGCTAATTCCTTTACTATTGATGGTTGATCCTAAAATGCAGAAATTATCTAACCTTCAATATCTTCTCAACATGCTAACAAAGCCTAGGTAGTATATGGCATATTTGAAGCACTGCTGAAATCACACATAGGGTTAAGCCAGTTTGCTCACTCATAATTTATGGAATAAATTGTAATTTATTGAGCCAGTGCAATGATAAACTATGGTTAAAAACCACAAGAGCTGACTTCATCTATTAGTTTGCTTAACTGGACTATGTTAAATAAGTTACTATTTGCTGGGTTTGTCTAATACAGGGCTTTTCAACCTTTTCACCCATTGTACCACTTTTAGGATATGTCAA